GTCAGCATTAGTTGTAACTGCGTGTGTCGAGCATTGTGTGATGGGTCAGAGCTTTGTGAGAGTGTTTATGGAAAGTCTTTGCAGTGAGATGATCTTTGAGCAGAGTCTGCTGCTGGCTGAGGCTGTGTGAAAATGCAGCCATCGTTACAGCTGTTTCAGAAAAAATGATAAAGTCAATTAAATCTGATAAATATAGGAAACAAATTATGGAAGGTGACATCACAGAGCTACAGGTTGCTCATGGCTGTGCTGGAGGGAGTGCTCCACTGCGATCACAATTAAAGCGTTTCATACCAGTCGATATAGATAATTATTAGGGGTGCAACAATACATGTACCCGTATCGAACTCTTCCATACAGTGCTCTCGGTTCTGTACGCACTATGTATCGGACGATACAGCCTTTTTAAAATGTAATTCATAAATTTGTTTTCTGAAGATGCGCTCTGTATTGAAGGCTCAGTGGATCTGTGTTTGATTACTCAGCCTACACCTAGGCTGCACTGTCGAACCCAGATCCACTGAGCGCCTCCCACATGCAGGCTGAGAGACGAGCGATGAGAAGCTAGCTAATAGCAATATGGCTACTGCTTCAAATGTACCTGAAATCGAAGCTCCTCCACCATCATTCAGGTCTGGCGTTCGGAACTACTTTGGTTTTCATGTTAAATATGACTCTGAAGGCAAGCGCGTTGTGGACAAAAGGACTACGGTATGTCAGAAGTGCTACACCTTGCTTAACTATAACGGTGGGAACATGACGTATATGACTACATTTACGCCTTCATCACCCCGAAGCAAAAATAAGTGTAACCAGACAAAAACAACAACAAGTAGCACACAGTCTGCAAACTTTACCCCAGTCATTTAGACAGACATTGGAACATGATTCAAAGAGAAATCGATCAGACAATCGCAACTTTTATTGCTGCCAACATGCAGCCCTTTTCTCTTGTAGACAATGCCGGGTTTCAGAACATGCTACGGGTTCTTGAGCCTCGACACAAGATTTCTTCACAAACATATTTTGCCAGTTCGGCAGTTCCTGCTTTGTATAACAAGACAAAAGCCAAATTAGAAGCGGCAGTGTCAGCAGCACCCACAATTGCTCTAACCTCAGACTGCTGGTAGGGCTGCCACGATTAATCGACTAATCGACGACTAATCGATTATTAAAATAAACGATGACTAATTTAATAGTCGATTAATCATTTTCTTTTCTTTTTTTTTTGTTCTTTACTTTGTTTTTCTCTCCAAAGTGCTTTGACACCTTCCACTGCCACATCTGCCTTTCTGTCCTTGACACACATGCACAGTAGTGGTAACTGGG